TGCTATAAAAATGTGCAGAAGTAAAACCCTCAGTATTACTAGTAAGCCTGTGAATCAAATTATCTTTGCATCCATTAATCCTCTGAACTTATTTTTACTGAAAAAGAAAAAGAAAACAGCTCAACTCTCAAGGTCATGTTTTATAAAAGTAAATTGCTCTTACCTTCTTCTATATGAAAGAATGCTGTGTTTTGTGTTATCCTGAAACACCAGAACCAAAACAACCCCCCTGCAGCAGCAACAAACCCCCTTTCTGTGTTAAACCATACCCTCCCTCAATCAATAATTTGTAGAGTTTATCCCTCATGGAGAAAATAGCATAAAATGTTTAGTTTTGTAAGAAAATGAGAAACTATTTTCTTGACTAACTTTACTATTTTCCATCCCCACCAACAATGTATGAGTGATTCACTTTCTGTGTATCCTCACCAGCACTTTTTGTCATTTTTTAAAAAGTTATAGTTGGTTTAATAAGTGCATGGTATGTTACATTATAAACTGGATCTTTAGTTTCCTAATGACCATTGTTTTTAGACAGTTTTTCATGTGTTTTCTTCTCATATGTACCTTCTCTTTGATGAAATATCTACTCATTTACTTTGCTACTTTCATCATTTCATAATTATATATATTTTTATTTTACTGTTGTGTTTTAAAAGTTGTTTTGTAAATTCTTAATATTTCAAATTCTTAACATGGTTTTTTGTTTGTTTGTTTGTTTGTTTATTTGTTTGTTTGTTTTTGTGGTACAAGAGTTTTCCATCTTGGGACCAGCAATTGACGTAATGGCTATGTCGCTGGACTCCCATGTAGTCGACCGGAGTTCGAGTCCCAGGCCCAGTGGCTTAAACTCATGCCGGGTGCATGTGAGTGCGTGCCCAAGATTCTGAGAGGAGAATGGTGGAGAAGGGATTGCGGTGTGGCCCTCTCCCCGTGAGGTCATTTCTCGCTTTCTGTCTCTCTGTTTTTCTCTGTTTTTCTGGTGAAGTGCATGCACCCTATAGCAAAAACCTTTCACCCTCCCCAAAAAAGTTTTCCATCTTGATGAAGCTTAATTTATTATTTTTTAATTTTATGTAACATGCTTTTATTATCCTAAGAACTCTTCATCTAGCACTAGCAAAGATGCTATTTTATGTTCTCTTTTACAATTTTTAGTTTTACATTTCAAACTTAAAACAGTGACATATTTATAATTAATTGTTATATATGATGAAAGGTTTAAGTTGAAGTTTATTATTTTCCATGAATGTCCAGCAACTTTTGTTTAAAAGACTATTTTCCCATTGAACTGATTTTGCAACTTTGCCAAAAATTAAGTGGATGCAATTATGTTGGTATAGTTTTGTGTTTTCTATTCTATTCTATTTATCTTCTGCCAATACTACACTCAGGTAGAGTGACACCTCTTATGTTATTATCCTTTTCAACATTATTTTGGCTATTAGGGTTATATTTATGTATAAATTTTATACTAAGATTGTTTAAGTTTACAAAGCAACTTGTTCCCAAAAATTAAGTGGATGCAATTATGTTGGTATAGTTTTGTGTTTTCTATTCTATTCTATTTATCTTCTGCCAATACTACACTCAGGTAGAGTGACACCTCTTATGTTATTATCCTTTTCAACATTATTTTGGCTATTAGGGTTATATTTATGTATAAATTTTATACTAAGATTGTTTAAGTCTACAAAGCAACTTGTTCTGTTTGGGAAAAAAAAATGTCTTAAATCCATAGGTCAAAGTCCGAATAGTTGCATCTTTGCTGTACTACGGATAGTTGCATCTTTGCTGTGCTATTTACTACATTATATACTTTACTATAGTTACTATGCCATACCATATATGATACATCTCTTTACACATTTAGATCTTTGTTTTTTTATGAGTATTTTACAGTTTTCAGCTTATTGATATTGTACATATTTTGATAAACTTGCACCTAAATATTTCATTTTGAGAATGACTGTAAATGGTACTGACTTTAATTTTGGTATATATTTGTTTATTACTAGTATATAGTGCACAATAGATATTTGTCTATTAGTTCAGCTCTCATTTATTGGATCAGTCTTACTGCCTAACACTAGTAATACAATATTTTAAAACAGCAGCAATAATAATGACTAAAATATTGGGTCATTGGGAAAGTTGTGATGTGTTTTTCTATGCAAAAATGTGTCATGACTTTTCTGATGACCCAATAATATTGGCTAGTCCTTTCAGAACTTTCCACATTTCATGTACTAGTCTAATACCTTTGCAGTAACAAAATCGAGGTACAGAAAGGCTAAGTACATTGCCAGAACTTCGGAACCTAGATAGAACTATGATTCCAATCCAGAATGTCCCTATTCACAGTCCATCTTCTCAAACTTTCTGTCTTGCTTCTCCATACATTTTTGCTGAGTGAATCAGTGAATTCTAGCCTGATTCTTCCCTAGGTCCTCTTTTATATTTCACTTTTGAATCTGTTTCCAAAGGCTGCATTTTACCCTCTAATAGATATCTGCATCTACTGTCAATTTTGGATTTTAAATTTCTCACTTACACCCTCCCATGGAATTGTGCCTCTTTCTTGCTTTATTTTGTCAAGAAATTCCTCAACTTCTTTCACACTATTTACCTCCAATGTAGTCAACATTGATATGAATATAGTTACTTGAATCTCAAATATCTCTCGATTTACTTTAGGTCATAAGAATCCATCTTCAGGCGTAAGAACCTTTTATTTTATTTTTTTCCCCTTAGATTTTTGCCACAGGGCATGTGGGCTTGCCAGAGAGAGATAGAGGTGAAAAAAGAGGGAAAGTGAGAAATAATTCCCCAAGAAGGGTGGCCACACTGCAATCTCTTCTCCTCCATTCGCCTCTTGGGATTTTGGGTGTGCATGTACACACATGCATGTTTTTCAAGCCACTAGATCCGGAATTCAAACTGTGGAGGCAAACATGTGGGATCCAGTGCCTTAACCACCATGCCATCTGCTGGCCCAGGAATCTTTAATGAGACTATAAAATGCTTTTTTCCCATTTAGCAAGTAGAAAGCTAAACGAATGTAAGCGAATATCACAATGAAATAGTAGAAACAAAAGATTTTATAATAGCTTTAGTAGTCAGTCCTTTTACATATGAACTTATTTACAAACGGCTGAATTTTCATTTGGGATATTGAATTTTTTTAAAGTTTTGTAGGGACAACTTTTTTCTCTGTCCAGTACACATATAAGATATGATTCAAAACACCTTTAACATATGATTTTGTCACCCTGCGAAGAATGACACTCTTCAGTCATTTAAAAAAAATGCCTCCTCGCTATTATTCTGTAAGCATTCAGCATTAATATTTAACTGTAGGCCTGTTGCAGCAGGATTCAAATTTTATTCATTAAGTTCTCACAAAGAGAATAAAGTAATGATTAATTACAATAACTTGATATTTACACTTTCATTTCAGACGGACTGAGCCATTCACTGCATATTTCCTACCTGGCAGTGATCCAGAGTTTTTTGTAAAACCTAAGTCTGGAGACCTTCTTCCTTATAATACTAAAGGAACGCTCATCACAGTGGGATTTAAACCTCGAATGTACAGTAAAAGCTATAAAGCAAAGCTAGCAATACAGGTGAGTTCTATAAAAGCAATATTCAAAAATGTTTGATGTCACTGAAGGCATGAAATGAACTAGGAAGAAAAGGTTTAAATAAATGGTTACAAATGGTGATTAATAGTATTGCTTTGTAAAAGTCAACTTATTTCAACTGTTGTATCTTTTGCCTAGTAACAGTATTTTAAATATGTAATATAACAAAAAGGTTGTCTATACCAGGGAAAAGTAAGGAATTACTTTTCTTCCATTTAAGGCTGTGTGGAAGAGACGAAAAGTATGTAAAGTGATTACATAGTCATGTATTTTCTGTAATATACCTATTCAAGGATTTTGTTAACTTTAGGTTATTTGAGATAGACATTTTTGTAACCTTTGATTGAGAAATAGGATAATGTTAAAATGTTGAAGTTCAAAATGAAGAAAAGGAAATAGAAGATAAAATTTACTCTGGATTGAAAAAAATATGCCATAACATGGGACATTAATATAGAAGTCTGTTACAGCGATTATTTTTTAACTTTATTTACTGATTTTAATTTGACCAGAGAGGGGCAGAGTGATAGAGAGAAAGAGAGAGAGAGAGAGAGAGAGAGAGAGGGAAAGTGAGAAAGTAAGCTGCCAGGTCTGGGACTTGAACTGTAGTCAGACATGTGGGAGTCCAGCGCCCCTAACCCACCATACCACCCGGCAGCCCCTAGAGTGATCATTTTATCAGCAGTTAAGATAGAGTATTTTTTAAATTATTTTTAAACTATATTTATTTATCTTAATTAGACCAGAGAGAGGTAGAGATAGAGAGAGAGAGAGATTTTTAAATATTGTAAGGACCAACAGGTACAATGGTGGTTAAGGCACTGGACTCCCACATGGCTGACTGCGGTTTGAGTCCTGGTCCTGACAATTTGCTTTCTCACTTTCTATTTTTCTCTGTCTTTCTGGTGATTGATGAGCTCTATAGCAAATTTAGCAAATTAAATAACTATAATAATAAATAAAATTAAATAGATAATTCTTTTTAAAAAGATTAATTAAATTATATACATAGTTAATATTATGAACTTTTTAGTCTAAAGACAACTTTTAAATTTCTTCTGAAAAGATACCTAGTACCACTGTCTCCCTTCAGTAGCACAAAGACTCAGAGCACATTGTCATATCAGCACAGAACTCCTGGTATCAAAGTGATTTCTACTTCTAAATTGAACAATAATTAAGCAGTGCCATGGGCAGAAAAATTGATTGTTACTTTTTTAATGAACAGAGAAAATAAAATGTTGAATTGTTTGGAAAAGGTATTTCTATTTCATTTTTCATCTTTCTATAAATCTTTAAAACCTAGGTAATAAGAAGAGAAAGCCCCTGGTGCCTTGCTGCACATAACCCCATTAGCTGCACTGATACTTGATTTAAAGTGATCATGTTGTTGTACTTGCTTATTTACTCCTAGGAGGTTAGATAGCATTTTTTTAAACATTTTATCATAATCTTGTTTATATTACATTGAATCACATATCTCTTCACAGTATATTACTTTTCTTTTTCTAGAAGGAATACCATACATATCGGTCAAGACAAAGACATTCCTATCCACATCATCATAGATAGCATGTTTAAAAAAGATTTACAAATTAAAATGACACTTATTTTATCTAGCATTCAGTGGGAATTTCTGAAATTAACAAGTTAGGTAGTTTTGCCAACAAAATTTGTGCCTGGTTTCCCTGTGTTGTCAGTTAAGTTATTAAGAGAATAATTGAAGACTTTTGTGTGAGAGAACAAGTCAGTATATGGGAATCAATTGAGAACATGCCATTTTCAGTTAGTCTGAAGTAGTACAATTTGATAAAGCTTTTGTGGGAAAACTTGAGATTAAAGTGTCTTCAAGAAATCTCTGTTTTGAGAACCAGCAGGTGGAGTGGTGGTTAAGGTGCTGGACACTCCCACATGGCTGACCATGGTTTGAGTCCCAGACCTGGTAGCCTGTTTTTTCCCTTTCTCTCTCTCTCTTTTTCTCTCTCTCTCTGTCTCTCTCTCTGGTTAAATTAAAATAAATGAATGGATAAATAAAATTAAATAAGTAATTCTTTAAAAAAAGAAATTTGTTTTATTGATTCCATTTTTATTATTAAAAATTCCAAATATGCACACAAATAGAGTAATTCATCTCCCTGTGCTCATCATCCAGTATGAACACTTTATCAATTCATGGCCAGTCCTGCTGCACATACATGCCCACTCCCTTCTTCACCTCCCATATTATTTTGAAGAAAACCCCAAACATTGTATTATTTGCAATTATGTCCTACTAATCTCCAAAATAAATAAAAATTATAATTGATACCACTATCACATCTAAAATTAATAATTCCATAATATCAGCACATATAAAATATCTATTTACTGTTCAAATTCACATATAAAATATCTATTTACTGTTCACATTTCCAGTTTGGTCATAAGTCTTACATTTTTAACTTATAGAGACTTATAAGAAGTTACCAAACAGAGTTCTATGAAATCTTCCTCTAGATTCCTCCAATGGTGACATCTTATATAATCACAGTTGGGGTCAGCAGGTCGTGTGGTGGTTAAAGAGCTGGTTTCCCACATGTCCTACTGCAGTTCAACTTCCAAACCCAGCAGCTTAAAAAATACTCCAGGTATATTCTCCCAAGAGGAGAATGGAGGAGAAAGGATTGTAGCATGTCCATCCTTCCTGGGGAGTGTTTTCTCAATTTCCCTCTCACTCTCTCTCTCTCTCTCTTTGGTGAGTACACACATCCTATAACAATAAAAACTAACCTCAGTAAAATATCAAAATGAGGAAATTGACATTGGTGAAATATTGTTAACAAGACAAGGGACATTATTCTATTTTTAGCATTTTTCACTTTTGTGTGTTTGTGTTTATTTCTTGGCAATTTGAACCCATGTATAGGTGTATGTCACTACAACCACAGCCAAGCTACAGGGCTGCTTCATCAGCCCAAAGGAACTACCTCATGATAACCCTTAAAAAAACATGTCCATTACTATAATTTCCGCACCACCCCTGATAACCACTAATTTTTTCTACATCTCTGTGGTTCTGTCATTTCTAGAATATTATACAAATGGAATAATACACTTTGTAATCTTTAGAAATTGGCTTTTTCTTGCTAAATGTAATACCTTTGAGATTCATAAGAAAGATTGCCTATGTCGAGTCAATGATCTTAAAATCAAACACTGTCTTTCTGTTTGACTGGAAAACCTAGACCTTAATGACAACATTATGCTGACACATACAATAAATGTGAAGACAATTTAAAAAGTTAAACATTATATTTAAACATTATATAAATGAAAAATATTGTTTATATTATTATTATTTTTTAAAAATATTGATTTTAAGAATGAAGTCAATATTTAATACCCTATGATTTTCATTGTCATTTACCTAGAAATAAAAATGATGATTTTAGAACATCTTAATTAAATGTTAGCCTAAATAAATCTCAACAATCATGTTTAGAAGCTTCATAATTTTCCATTCAAAGAAATCACATTTAGAATGATTAAAAACTGTTTATCCCCACTAGTAAACAAGGCAAATAGCACTATCTTTCAGGGACTGAAGTTAACTTGTTAAGACTGTTTCATAGAAGGCAGTGCTACTTAAAGAGAATGGTAAATCAGCTCAACTCTCCACAGTGGTGATAAATCTTTTTTTTTTTTTTTTTCTGAGATTTTTTTGCTAGGGTGTGTGCACTTGACCAAGAAATAGAGACAGAGAAACACAAAGTGAGAAATCACCCACAGGGATGGCCACACTACAATCCCTTCTCCTCCAGTCTCCTCTTGAGATTTTGGGGACACACGCATACATGCCTAAAGTGAATTTTAAGCCACTGGACTTGGGACTCAAACTGTGGTTGACTAGTGGGAGTCCAGTAATGTAACCATTACACCATCTGCTGGTCCTAAATGAGATAAATCTTAAACAGCCTAAAAAATGTGAGAACTGTCATAATTATCCAAGGGAAAAAAAAGTACTTTATATAATTTTTTTAAGTAATTTTATTGAGGAACAAATTTTTGCTATAGGGCATGTGTGCTCACCAGAGAGACAGAGAGAGATAGAGAGACAGAAAGTGAGAAATCACCCCTCTCCCCAGGTGAGATGGCCACTCCACAATCTCTTCTCTTCCATTTTCCTCTCATGGGAGATCTGTAGGAAATGATGTGTAATGCACACTTCAGAATTTTCAGACCTAAAGAGGCCAGGAAGTTGGGGTATTTATACATCAACTGCCACCCTTGAAAAATGTTCCCAGGGGATTGTTAAAACCCTGCTGTGATTAGAGAAGCCTTCTGGGGTTTCTGAAAAATATTGAATCAAAGAGGTCCAAGTGCTGACAATAGAAAGGTAAGGTAGGCAGTGAAAATGATAATAAGGAATGTGAGTGGACACAGAACACATCTGCTTTTCCTTTTTCTTTCTTTTTTTTTTTAAAGAGTGAGATTTTTCTATAGGGCACATGCACTCACTGGACAGAGAGAGAGAAAATGAGAAATCATCCCCTGAGGCAGATGGCCATACATAATCTCTTCTCTTCCATTCTCCTGTCAGGATTTTAGGTGTGCATGCACACACATTCAGCGTGAGTTTCAAGCCACCGGGTATGGGACTCGAACCATGATCAGCCGTGTGGGAGTTCAGCACCATAACCACTATGCTACCTGCTGGCCCACACATCAGCAAGTTGAATATTACAGTTGTTGCCATTCATAAAAATATGCTCTTAAAAACATAGTTTAATTATTCATTTCATCGGGTCATTGGATTTGGCTGATCCCTTTGCAGAACACAGAGACACTATCTAAATGTGGAAATTTCAACTGTTTAAAAAAATTTTGTTGTCTTTTCTTTTTTTAGAGAAAGATTTTTGCTATAGGGCACGTGTGTTCACCAGAGAGACAGCGAGACAGCGAGAAATCACCCCCAGGGGAGATGGCCAAGCCTTCAGGTCCAGGACTCGAATCACAGTAGAGTTGTGGGAGTCCAGCAACATAACCATTAGGCCATCTGCTAGTCCCTTTGCTGTCATTTTTATTTATTTAAGTAAATGGTTGACTATAATTGTCAATTTGGCATTCTTTTTTAAAAATCAGAGCAGTGTTTCTATGAGGCACTAGTGATGCAAAGGTGATCATTAATTCTTATATAATTTTTGCTTCTGTATTTTATTGCATTTTCAAAAGGAGATTGGGGTAGACGATATAGAACTACATGTTTAAAGCGTTTTTGAAAACATAAAGGGTGACTAATTTTATTCACAGTCTGATGGAAGAAATTTAACTGTAGGAAAAAAGCTGTAATGTTTGGTCTGTAGTATATAAAATAAGTCTATTCTTTTTATATAGCATGTTGGAATGAAGGACATGAACTTCATATGTGTCTGTGTGTGTATACATATATACATACACACAGTTTTCTTCTATCCAGCATGATCACTTTTTAAAATATATTTATTTATTTTTCTATGAGCAAGAGAAAAAGAGAGAAAGACAGAAAGAAAGTCAGACAGCATACCCAACAGGGTCCCAATGCTTTTATCCCTCTCCAGCTCCAGCTAGTCCCAGATCATGGGTACATACATGCCTGGTATTCTCAGGGAAGTCTTGGAACTTTAAAAATTGGGTCTTTATAGATAATTACTTTCAGAGTTTTTGAATATAAGCACCATGTGAAGGTATAATTCTCTACTTGTAGCTCTCATTTATAGTCATTAAGTGTTGGGCTTGGGTTCAGTCTCCTTCATGTAGCTCACTCATTCATAACCAAGAAGTGAGACTTGTACTGGAAAAAAAAAAGTTTGTATAACATATGCACAGTCACCAAAATATAGCCTTTTTTTTTCCAAATTAAAAATCTTCATATGAAGTAAAATATTATTTAATCCAATTGTATTATGCTTCTTGATTCTGAATACATAATTATTATAAAACACTGGATTAAAAAGGCCAGATATGATTAAAATAAAGTCAGGTGGGATGTGCAAGAAATCCCTGCACTTAATCAATATTCATTGATAGATATCATGAAACACATCAAACCCAGGGTACTGCAATATTCTTTTGGGCTGAACTTTTCCTGAATGAATTTTCTGAGCATACATGGTACAGATTTTAGTGTGAGAAAGAGGGCCAATAGAAACATAAGCAGCTTCAAGAAATTCTGCAAAAACAATGGGACGTAGGCATGAACACAAACACACTGAAAATGCTTGACTACCTAATTCAGTATGATCTTCCTGTGTACATATGCAGAAGAAATAAAGGACTTTGAAATAAATTTCCATGTAAGTTGTACTGATTCCTATTTAGACTGTGTCATCAATGATCTTACACCACTCTTGGTATATTCAAATGGTTATATTATGTATTCTGTAATCTACAAAGCAGCTAAGCATATTTTACCCGTCACTTCTATGACAACACTTAAATTCTCATGCATAAATTCATCTTGAAAGGTATTGTTTCTATTAGTTCTAGTTCATGCCAGCCAACAGTATCATGCTAACCAAATCGATTGCTTTCCCTTTTATCAGAGGATGTGTACGTTCCCTACAAGGCAGATCTCAGAGATATTTTTAGTGAATGGTTTATTCATAAAATGCTTTTTAAAATTTTCCACATTGTTTCTCATTATATATATAGTTTCGGTTTTGTGCCTTTTTCTTGCCCTGCATGGAGAAGAAAAGGTGTTATTTATGATAAACTTTTCCCCCCATTTTTCTATGTCCCTGGATATTTCGTGTAAGATTTCTCCCTTTGTTTTCAGACGGCAGATATGTACTGGCTATATGATATCAATGGATTACCCCAAGAATACACACCACCGATGAATGTAAAACCTAAAATCAATACTACTAACAAGATATACGACAGCTTACCAACTCGTCAGCGCAATTTTCTCCGGGAAAATGCTAAACTCTTAAGGACAGGGGTATCTTCTACCATCAAGGGTGCCCCTATGGTGACGAAGCATAAATAAATGTTTTCCTTCCAAAATACTTCTTGGTCTCAAGCAGAACTGAATGTTTTCATGATTGTTATTTCATCCCTTGGAATAATTGTGAGGTATATTTTAGTTGTAATAGGCCTTTTATATTTTCCTGTCTTTTCAAATGCTGACTTAATCTGTCCTCTGAATATTCCATACCTCCTTTGTGAGTTATGTGTATTTAAGGGACCAGCAGTTGGTGTGGTGGTGGAGGCACTGGACTCCTACATGTGTGACCACAGTTCGAGTCCTGAGCCTAGTGGCTTGATTTCTCACTTTCTCTTTCTCTCTCTCTCTCTCTTTGGTGAATTGAAAAATAAGAATAGTGAATGAAATTAAATAATGGGTCATTGGGAAAGTCATGATGCATTTTTTTTGCATAGAAAAACAAATACATCATGACTTTCCCAATGACCTAATAAATATTTTTAAATGAAATAAAAATAAAATGGACTTTAGTTGTGAATATTGGAATTTATTTATTTCTAAAGTGCAGGAATGTGTTTGTAGTGAAACTAAAACCTGATTCCAATGACAATAATATTTCTAATACCAATGTTGTTGTTAAAATTCAATTTGTCATATAGACATTACTTATGAATCCTTAAAACATTAATGATAAAATTAACATATAAGATAGAAGTATTGATAATTTCTTACATGTGCTATTTTGAATATTATGTACTATTTAATAAATAATTAATTTTAAAATCTGCACACATACTATGTGTACATAGTACATATGCTTCTATTTTGTAGTCTTAAATAATATATAGGTGTATCTTGAAATGATCCAGGAGGAAGTACATTTTGATGTGCATATGATCCTTGAGACTGAGTCATTAATCAAAGAAGAGTACGTTGTCATCACTGAGGGGAGATATAATAATAAATGGCTTATGGAGAATAGCCTTAAGACACTTTGACACTAAGTGACTGCCTCTGCAAGAAACCACTGGCGTGACCTTAAGCAAGTTGCTTACCCTTTTTATACCCTATTCCTTGTGTGCAAAATGAAGGAACTGTACTAGGATAGGAGTTGGTAAGTTATGGCCTACAGCATATTGGCGATGTTGAATAATTTTTACATGTTTTAATAGTTGAAAACAGATCAATAGAAGAACATTATGTGACACAAAAAGGTAACATACAACTTAAACTTCATAGGTTTTTTTTGCAACACAGCACAATCTTTTTTCTATTTTTTAATATTTACTATACCTGCTTTTGCACTACAAGAGCAAAGTTGATCATATAGAAACCATATAGCTGCAAAGCTTAAAACATTTATTCCTCTGGCTTTTACAGGAAAAGGTTGGAAACCGCTGTATTAAGTCAGAATAGCTGTTAGGAGCCACTGTGAATCTATCCATTGTAGTTTTGTTACATGGTGTTAGGCAGAATTCTGAGGACAAATCTATGGAATCAGTATTATCCACAGTGATTGTGGTAGCTAGAAGTGGAGGTCAATGTACCTTGGATTTGCCATCCCTGAAAAAGATAAGAGCTTAAATTCTGTGTATTTTCAAAAGCCTTTCTCATTCCCTGGTCCCCTAAAGATATGCCTTTGGGCATAGACTCATAGATCTCTTGTCCTTTTTTCTGAGGAAATGTGTATGTGGCAGGGAAAACGAGAGTAGTCAGTCTCTGAACATATTTCTCTAAGAATGTTTTCTGAGAAGTCTCATTGTTTTTATATTTTGTATTCATGGTACTGCATAATTTTTAAGTAATCTTAAAACTTTTTATATTGAGCCTTCAAGAATCATGATTGTTCTCCTACTTGAAATACTCTGATAATTGATAGTGCCCAGAATGGACTGCATTTGCATCTGACTTTTCTCAGTCAGAGAAGGAAGTAAAGATGATATACTGGGAAACATGCTATTAACTATCTCATACAACTATTTCAAAAATACTTGCAATGGTGATGCTAAATGGTCATGTTTCAAACTCTAACCTGGATGTAACTTTTTTAGGAAGAGGTGTCTTCAAAATGTCAATGGAAACTATTAGTTATTCCAAAGAACAGTGGGGTGGTGGAAATTCAAGTAGACCAACTAAATAGTGAGTGACATTTGCAGATCCATGAGAGAATGAACTTCACAAAAATATGTTTTAGAGTCTGAAAGTGGACTCAAGGAGATATCCTACACATTCCCCACCCAGCCACTATTTTCTGACCAAAGGCTTTCTGATACAGATACTTGTGACTCTCTGTTTCTGTGATGCCTGAAAGGGCAGTCAGGCTAAAAATTCTGCAAAATTAATGCCCCTAGGAGCAGCCCTTGATCAATAATGGATCAATAATGGACAAGCAGAGGTAAATAATATCCTGCATTCTTGTTCCTCAGATGGCACAACTCTGAGGTGTTGTCTCTATGTTCTCCCAAAGACTTCCAGCAGTACTAAAATCCCACTGCCTGCATAACATATCCTGGATTAACTTGCTTCCTTTTCCCATTCCTTTATGGTGTCTCCTCCCATATAAACTGTGTGCACTAAAATGTTTTCTCAAGGTCTGATATGAAATATTTCTTTTTTTTTTTTTTGGAGAGGTTTCTTTTGCTATAGGGCACGTGCACTCGCCAGACAGACAAAGAGAGACATAGAGACAGAAAGCGAGAAATCGCCCCCCGGGGGAATGGTCATGCCACAATCCCTTCTCCATTCTCCTCTCGGGATCTTGGGCATTCACGCACACGCGCCCGGAGTGAGTTTTAAGCCACCGGGTCCGGGATGCAAACCGTGGTCGACTACGTGGGAGTCCAGCGACATAGCCATTACGCTAACTGCTGGTTCCCATGAAATATTTCAGTCTAAGACATTCCTGAACCTTGGTGTTTAAAGACAATACAGATAACTGTTCTGCAAAACCAATGGGCAGGATGGAGTCTGGATCTCTGATTTAGTTAATTTGCAGTCCCTCGTGCTTCATTATACTATGTTCCCGGATCCCAAAAGAGTTTGCACTGAACTTAAAGACTCAACAGTCTTTACATCAACAAAGAAACAGGCATAGTTAATAAAAATAAAATTTAATGGATATGAGCCTCTATAATACCTTGAAGTGATAAATTTATATACCAAATCCAAAATAAATTGAGGAGGTAGGGTTATGAATCTTGGTGACACAAGGAACCATAATTATCTTTTAAAACTGTTTGAGGAAGTTGGAACAAGTGTCTATTTGTACTTTCTGCAGAGTTCCTGAAGTCAACCTAAAGTATTCAAACTTGTTCGATTACTTTTTTAGTTTACTCATAGAAGCAGTTGCTAAATACACGTTTGTTAATATTGATGAGGACATGTTTTCAGTAAAAAAGTATTGTTCATGGGACCAGCAGATGGCATAATAGTTATGTTGCTGGACTCCCACATAGTCGATTGCAGTGTGGGTCTAGGATCTGACGACTTAAACTCACACTGGGTGCATGTGCATGCATGCCCAAAATCTGGAGAGGAGAATGAGGGAGAAGGGATAGCAGCATGGCCATCTTCCCAGGGGGTTATTTCTCACTTTCTGTCTCTCTGTATCTCTCTGTCTCTCTGGCAAGCAAAAATCTCTCTCTCACAAAAAAAGAAAATTGTTAAAATTAAGGGCTTAGGGGCCAGCAGGTGGCGTGGTGGTTAAGGTGATGGACTCCCACATGGCTGACCACAATTTGAGTCTTGGATCTGGCCGCTTGCTTTCTCTCTCTCTCTTTCTCTCTCTTTTTTCTCTGTGTCTCTCTCTGGTGAGTGCATGCGCCCTATTTCAAATTAAATAATAATAAATTGAATTAAGTAATTCTTTTTTTAAAATTAAGGGTTTAGACAACATTTCCCAGTGTCAAAATGTCATATTGTTTCGGTTTACTCCATGCTGCAATTTTGATTGCTGCAGTATCAGATGAAATAAGACAACCAGAAAATGCTAGATGTCATTAAACAATTTAAAATTGCCTCAGGGCTTTTTGAACCCCTTAGTGATGCATTTTCAGACTCCCTACACAACATGAAAATAAAAATGATACTTAGAATATTTGCATTGAATGAATTTTTAAAGATCTTGTTGCAAATCCCTAATTTATGACATATTTGTAAATTTTACTTCTTTGTATTTGGCAGAAAGTGTCTGTCAAAGAAAATTATACACAGAAACTCCATAACATAGAAAGTTAATTGTAGAAACCCACTCATACGCCTCTTTTTTAATCCACCTTGATTCTTGAAACATCTGATTAAACCAAGTCTTCCATGAATAGATTTAAGGCCATAGACTTAATAAGTGGCCTGCAAAAGTTTTATTAATTTTGCAACATTCTGTTTACTAATCCTCTATAGAGTTATGTTTAACATAGATGCATAGACCAAAAGGACAGAATAAACAATCCAGAAAAATACCCAAAACATACAGCCAACTTATCTTTGACAAAGGGTTCAGTGGAGAAAAGAAAGTCTTTTCAGCAAATCATGCTGGGAGAACTGAATAACCACTTGAAGAAAAATAAAACTTAACCCTTATCTCTTATCATTACAAAAATCAACTCAAAATGAATCAAAGATCTACATGTAAATCATGTAAATCCTCAAACCATAAAGTTACTGGTGGGGAGAAAAAAAAAAAAGAAAAAAACAAGGTAAACATCTGAAGACGTTGGAGGCAAAGATTTCTTAAATAAGACCCCTAAAGCACAGGCAGTAATCCCCCCAAAAGACAAGTGAGTTTATGTCAAGCTAAAAAAGCTTCTGCATAGAAAAGGAAACAGTGAAGAGACAGCCCTTGGTAGAAAAACAGAAAGATGCTTACACATCCATGTTTATTAAAGCTTTATTCACAATAGCTAAGACATGGAATCCACCGAAGTGCCCAAAAAATGCTGATTGAAAAAATATGGCTCATATATGCTATGTAATATTAGTCATAACAAACAATGAGACCCTGTCACTTCCTACAAAGTGAATGAATATAGAAGATTTAATGCTAAGTAAAGTAAGCCAGATTATTA